TCAAGGCTATTCGTGCTGACCTTGACTCCACCAGCAGTTTAGATTATCTGGGGGTGACCATTGCTGCCCCATCTCCTATTGCCCAGTTGGTTCAGCTTGACCCTGTAGGAAGGGAGCCTCTGCCTCCTTGATGGATCCTTGCCCACAAAGGGGACTATGATTGATTGAGTTGTGAACATTATTAATTCATCACTGAGGGAGGGAATGCTTTCCTCCTGCTTAAAACAAACCATCATCCAATCCATCATCAAATGCTCTCAGTTAGCATCGGACAATCTTAACAATTTCTGTCTGATCACCAACATACCATTCCCAGGCATGGTGATCGAGTGGGTGGTGGCCAGTCAGCTGCAGTCATACCTAGAGAGGCAGGATTGCCTTGACTCATTCCAGTTTGGATTCAGGCTGCCATTGGGTTGCTGAGATAACATTGGTAGTGCTGCAGGATGACCTTTTAAGGGAAGCTGACAGGGGCAGATGCACCCTGTTGGTACTCCTAGATCTCTCAGCCACTTTTGATACCATCAACCATGATATCCTCCTGGACAGGCTCTCTGAGGTTGGGATTGGGGGCTTAGCATTGAGCTGGCTCCAATCCTTCCTCGAGGACCATGTCCAGAGAGTTCAGCTAGGGCAGGAAGTGTCGGCACCTTGGACCCTTAGGTGTGGGGTTCCTCAGAGATCGGCACTATCCCCAGTGCTGTTTAATATCTGTAGATTATCACCATAATCATCCAATCTTCTGAAAAGGACAAAAGCTGATTCCACAGCTATACTCAACTATCCAACAAACTGCACCAGAACACAGACAGAGTTCTGACTCCTGTCCTCTGAAGATGCCAGCCACAGAGACTGGCGAAACGTTAGGAAGAAAAACCTTAAGAACACAGCCAAACATCCTGGAAAACCCACAACCGTCATCGGATCCCAGCCGTCAAAGCCTTCGAAAATACATTTCTATTTTCATTTGTGTTTTCCATTTTATGAGATTGTAACCCACCCATAGTAGTGGTGTGACACTAATGGGAGCAGGATACTGAGTGAGTGAGTGAGTCAGTATCCCAGGTCACTGTGGTGTCTGAGTAAGTAGAAAATGTTTCTCCACTTACAGTTCTTCTGGGCTGTAAAAAGAAAGTTCTACCCATTAGTCGATAAGGAGAAATTACAACAACTGCTGCGTGGAAGAAGTGGAATGCTAGCTTTGTATGTGTAACCTGAATCATATTTTTATGGCATTTGTAGCTCTTTGTTTTTTCTCAGGAATGAACTGATGAGAGACAGGGGCATCCTATCAAAAATTCATATTGCTGACTTGTAGTCACTGCACAATACAAGCTACATTTGTATGATCAATGGCAGAGTTGAGAATCAGATTTTTCTATCATTTCTAATGCAAAATTTGCCTAGTGCACTCGTTCCCAATTTTGGACAGTCCTGGTGTGCTTGGACTGCAATACCAGGAGCCTTCACCACCAGCCGTGCTGGTCTGGGTTTCTAGAAGCTGCAGTCCAAAAATATTTGAGTCACCCAAGGAGGCATTGATTCCATTTTGTAAGCCCTTTTTATTCCTCCAGGGACACTGGGCTCGGGACCTTGGGTTTGGAGCCAAGTTTTAATATTAGAAGATGGTTTAAAGTTTATGTTAGTATGAAGTCAAAAGTAAAATTGGCAAACTGAAAGTAGACTCTGGCCCTTTGAAAATTTGAACTTTTACCTTCCAATATAAATAAAATACAGTGGTGCCTCACTTGACAACAATAATCCGTTCCAGCAAAATCGCTGTAGAACGAAATCGTTGTCAAGCGAAAGTAAAAAGCCCATTGAAATGCATTGAAAACCGTACAATGCGTTCCAATGGGCGAAATACCTCACCGTCCAGCGAAGATCCTCCATAGGGCGGCCATTTTCTGGTGCCTGTATAGCGAGGAATCCGTCCTTAACACAGCGGGGAGCCATTTTGGAAGCCGCTGATCAGCTGTGTTTAGATCATCATTTAGGGAAAAATTGGTTCCTGAAGCAGGGAACCGATCGTCGTCAAGCGGATTTTCCCCATTTAAACACCGTTTTGTGATCGCAAAAGTGATTGCAAAAACCTCATCATTAAGTGGATTCATCGTGGAGCGGGGTAATCATTAAGTGGGGCACCATTGTACATGGAAAGCATTTGGGAGAGCTGACAGGATGTCAGTCATGTACCCATTTGCTTTATGGGCCCTTGCCCATTAGTGCAAAGTAGATGGTAATTTCTTTTGGGGCCATGGACTGTGTTTACATGTTTTTGTATTTCCAGTTGATTGGTTTGAATTCTAGTCAGCAAATGTCTGGTGTGTGACATAAAACAAATTTCTTTTTTAAATTTTTTATAGTTGCCAGCAGAAGATGAAATTTTATTACAAAAATTAAGAGAAGAATCTAGAGCAGTCTTTTTGCAGAGAAAAAGTAGAGAACTATTAGATAATGAAGAACTGCAGGTAAGAAAATACTAATAATGGGATCATTAATCTCACATAATTTCAGGTTCATTTTATTATCTATCAATGGGGACTTGGTGGTGGTGCCCACAGACACATTGATGCCTTCCCATGCTCTCCTTGCTGCTGCTTCTCCCTCCCTTCTGACTCTGTCCTCATTTTTGGAATGCTTTCTAACCAGTATAGCAACCACTAGCAATCTTTCTTTTTCCCAGATTGCCTCTGGCCCTTATGTAGGTCCAAGAATGTTCTTCAACAAGGAGAAGATCTGGGAAGGGTCTTTGGAATTATAGCTTTATTTTCCAGCATTCCAAAGTCAAACTGTTTGGTGTGTATAAGGGAAGAGTACCTGGATATGTTTGTGTGGCTTGGGAACTTTTTTTATTTTTATTTTATTAATGTTATTTTTGTTGGTTTGGGTTTTAGCTTCAGTTTCTGCTGTGTGCATTGTCTGTGATTAGCCAGGCCTTATTGATGCTTATTTTCTGCTTAGAGTTTTTCAAATTTTTAAATGTACTCACAGGCTCCAAAAGTAGATCTCCTCTGATAAATTGTTTTATGTTAACTTTTTTAAGTCTGCCTTTTCAGAACTTGTGGTTTCTGCTGGATAAACATCAGACACTTCCAATGATGGGAGATGAAGCAATGATTAACTATGAAAGCTTCCTGAAAGTTGGTGAGAAAGCTGGATCCAAATGCAAGTAAGGATTTTTCCATAATTGCTGATCTTTATAAGTAGGATCTGTCTGGCTCTTGATTAGGCTCTCATTTCTCTTTGATTCTCCTTTTTTAGGATCCAAGTTATGACTATATTGTTCTCATTCATGCCCTACTTTCAGCACACACAGAGAGAAAACCTCACCCCCACATTTCCCCAGAATATTTATCAGGCTTCATGCCCTACTTTTAGCGCACACAGAGAGAAAATCTCACCCCCACATTTCCCCAGAATATTTATTACAAGAAACATTTAAATTATGAAACTGACTGCAGTTATGGCAGGGTTTTCACTTCAATATTGTCTTTATGTTTCACAGACAATTCTTCACAGCTAAAGTCTTTGCAAAATTGCTTCACAATGATCCATATGGAAGGATAGCTATCATGCAGTTTTTCAATTATGTGATGAGAAAAGGTAGGTTTATTTTTAGAGCAAATCATGTGACAATTTGTTTGTCTGTTCTTTTCTATTTGTATCCTGCTCCTATTAGTGTCACAGTTGTCTGTTCTATTCCATTTGTATCCTGCTCCTGTTAGTGTCACAGCACTACTCTGGGTGGGTTACAATACATATACTGTAATACAAAACAAAAATAAAAATAGAAATATTAAAAACAGCAGCAGTAACCCTAAAAAAACAGTGGCACCAAGTAATCCCCAGAGCGGGTGGAGGAGAAGGGAGGGAAGAAGAAGAAGAGAAAGAGGGGAGAAGGTGGTCACCTGGGGTTGGTGTGGAAAGTCTCTCTGAAAAGTAGTGTCTTTAATTGCTTCCTAAAAGTCCACAGAGAGGGGACTAGGCGGAGCTTCTCCAGAAGCTGGTTCCATACAATTGGAACCACTGCGAAGAAGGATCTACCTCTTGTAGAGAATTTATGGGCCTCCGCCACTGTGAAGAAGGATGGGCCTCCCTCAGGGTGGCCACCCAGAGGAGCCTCGATTGGGATGATCTGTGTGTCGGGCAGATGTCATTAAGGAAAGATGTTTCAGCAAGTAACATGGGCGACTGTGAGAACCTTGGGTAAGGCAGATGACATTAAGGAAAGATGCTTCAACAAGTAACATGGGCGACTGTGAGAACCTTGAACCTGATCCAGGATACCATGTGCAAGCAGTGGAGGCAGGCCAGAACTTGAGTAATGTGGTAAAATTTCCTTATAAAGAACAATATATTTATAACTTTCTTTTTATGTTTTGAACATTATTTTAACCTTAGTTTGCTTTGACGGAAGCCTTTATTTGACCCCAAAGAGGTTCCATTATATTATTTCTATTTCACAGTGTGGCTATACCAAACGAGAATAGGCCTCAGTTTATACGATGTGGCTGGGCAAGGTTACCTCAGAGAGTCGGTAAGCAGTAAATGTTGAATGTAAATGTTGAATGCAGCAAATGTTGAGTGTATCTATGTTATGTAATGGAAATCTTTTTTGGTGTCTTGGTTTACCTTGTTTTGAGAGACAATCAGGTTGTGTGATATATCGAGTAATTAGGTGTATAGATGTGTGTGTGTGTGTAGACTAGTATTTACATGTATTGTGTTTTATGTATGTGGGTAGGTTTCAGTTAAGTAGGATTGCACAATATTTGTTGCAGAGGATAAAATAATGTGACTGCCTGCATTGTTTGCATATTTCTGTTCATGTGGGATTTTTTCACTGTAGAACATTGTTAGAATAAGGACTCAATACTGAATTCCAAGGAATTACAGTGCCAGAGTTACCATAGTATCTTTGTATTAAGTAGAGTATTTGACAGCGCTGTGGCAGGTTCTCTGTATAATGCCTAGTACTGTTGCAGTGAGGATTCTCAGCAAATAGCACATGAATTAGGGATCAAGAGCGGTGTGACACATCAGTCATTTAGATGGTTCACCATTGTTTCCTTCTTGCATTCTCACAGCACACGCAGTACAACAGATGGAGACAAAATTGTCCAATCATTCCCCCTGTAAAAAAACAAAATAAATGTGAGCAACTGGGACTATGATGACAGCTGTATTTCCCAATACTTTCTTGTTTAATTTTCTAGGACTTAGAAAATTATATTCTGGAACTCATCCCCACATTGCCACAGTTGGATGGTTTAGAAAAATCATTTTATTCATTCTACGTCTGTACTGCAGTCAGGAAATTCTTCTTCTTTTTAGATCCTCTCAGAACAGGTAGGTTCAAATGGCTTATTCCTTGTTCTGCTAATTGCACAGTGGCTTTACAATCCAAGCTATAACATATTGTCTCAGTTAAAGTATAAACAATGGTTTAGCAAAACACCAAACTATAACTATTGCAGGACCCTGTAAATCTAATGCATTTCTTTCAGTGTGAGCCTTTATACATTTCAACTCAATTCTTACAATACGTCTTTGTGCCTGAAGTTTGCTATCCACAAAAACTCAGACTGAAATAAATTTGTTACTCTTCGGATTATGTCTATATTTTAGGGTTTCGTGTTTTGCTGAGACAAACTAATGTTACTGTCTCTGAAACCAGCTCTAGTTTAGTGTTACATAAACAAGTCTTGGGCTTATGTACGTCTTCCCTTTCTTCTCTAATGGTATTGAAGTCCAAAAGTTTTACTTTTACTTTGCCACAGTTTAGCATCTGAACACTGCTTTTTATTGAAACAAACTTGCTTAATAAGCCATAGCTTATGGCATGCTTCATTAAATGTGCACAAATTATCTGCAGTTTATCCCAGTTGGGCATAATGCTACACTGACGATGGCCAGCAATGAAAAGAAAACATCCACTTTTCTTGTCACACTAGAGAAGGAAAGGAGAAGCTGACTGTGGCCTATTCACAGTAACCAAATGTCACTGTTGAGATGGGGTTTTGCAGAAACATAGCATTCTGGTGACAGAATTAAGCTCATGTGGTACATCTTGCAATTCTGTCACTTGTATGTGTGTGCTTTTATGTATATTTTACAGTGAAACAGTTGTATCTGTTGTATAAATCACTGCAGTCAGGGTAAAAAAAAAATCAGCATCTCCCACATACACCCCAAGTATGCCAACAACACTCACTCTGTTGGAGTGCTGATGCAGGAGCACCTGATAGCAAGTGCAAAGCTACAAGTTACCTTGCCTGTTACTTTCTATGGCTTTTAATACTGCAGATCACAAACTGTTGGTGGCAGGGTTGGCCAAAGTGCTTGCACTGACACTGAAGCAGATGAGGAAGCCCTGACTTGGATCAAAGCTCCCCACCATGCATTGACTGACTCTGACAGCAAACAGTATTCCAAAGTATTATCTCACTGTTGATATTCACTGTAGTACCATTGAGCATTTGGATATTTGTATTTGGGACTGGCTTGATAAATTAACTTCCTCTGCATTAGCAATAATCCTGAATTTTCCATATTGTAACCAAAGCTTTTCTTTTATCCTTTCTCCTCTTCCATAGAAAATGCCCAAGATGTCCTGAGTTTGAATAGACATTCTGTATTTTTTGAGGAAATTCATGAGTGAGCAGAGTGGTTTTCCCCCTGCACCCTAAAACTATATTGTAAGAACACTAAAGCCCTTTGGTTTGGAATATGGCCTATATATACTAAAGTAAATAAATTTTGCTAAATAGTACTGCAGACTGCATTACATGGCATGAGAGCTTTTTATCTATGGTAATATAAATTATAGAATCATAGAATACTGAAGTCCATCAAGTCCAACCCCCTTGTTCAGTGCAGGAATACATATCAAAAGATTCGTGCCAGGTGGTTGTCTTAATTTTCTCCCTAGATTCAGATATACAAATGTTTGTAATAGACATGTGTATAGATATTAATATTTCTTTAGAATACAATGGTTTTTATTTGCTGATAAATTAATAAAATGAATTTTCTTTCACTCATTACATTATTTTCTATTCAAAACTATTTGGCATAAGCTAAAAGACTTTTTCTTTGATGAAGAATGTCCCATGCATTCATTAGTAAGTGAGGAAAATGTTAGCTTAAATATGTATTTTTTCTTCCAGGAAAGATAAAAATACAGGATATTTTAGCCTGCAGCTTCCTCGATGACTTACTAGAGGTAGGTATTTTGATAAATAAGTTTGTTTTTTAAATCAATTTCATTATATTTGTTGATCACTAACACATGATTTCTATTTTTATTCAGTTACGGGATGAAGAACTTTCTAAAGAAAGTCAAGAAAACAATTGGTTTTCTGCTCCTTCAGCACTACGGGTTTATGGTATATATTTATATTATACCACTTCATCTTCACAATCTAGCATTTTCTGAGCATTTTGTTTCATTTGTTTGCTTTTTTAAACTTTTGATTATTACTCATATGCTTCAGATGGTGACCCTTTTGCCTCATTAGTTAAGAGCTAGCAGAGGCCACAACCTTTTTGATAGGAGATACATGCCACATGTACCCCATCTGGATCCATCATGAGGATGTACCTGATCATCCTGAGGTGGCAACCATATGTATTTATGTGAAAGGTAATAGACCAGGTTCCCCAGGGAATGCATTGTATAGTATGACCATATGTATAATTATAGAATTCTCCCTTTGATATGCTTTGTCAGTTGTTTAATGTGAAACAAACACTTATATGGATCTATTTCTGTTCCCTGTAAACTACCAAAGGGCAACATAAAGTCAACAGGCTATATTGGGTTGTTTAAGAATCTTTTGTTTTATGTGCCAACTTTACAACAGTTTGTTAGTGAGCAAGGTTCCCTCTCAGCTGGGCATACATGCGTCTGCACACGCCTCTGCACAGCAATCGCGTTAGGTTCTGGTCACAACGGAACCAGAATCCTCTGCACAGGGGCGGAGTCATACATGAGAGAGAGACAGAGCACTGCCCTGTGGATCTGAAAGTTAGAGGGTACGTTGCTTGTGAGATGAAGGGGGAAAGCATAAATCAGCCAAATGCGGATCATGAAGTCTCATGTTGCATAATCTTGCTGTATCTTATATAGGAAGTTGCTTAAAGAAACTTTTTTGCTTTTTTTAATTTAAGAAAGGTACACAACAGAAAATATCTGATACTAAAAAAAAATACAAAACGGAAGATAAAAAACAATATATACATAAACAAGGTACTATAACTACACAACTACACAAAAGTGCACCCATCCACCAGGACCCTCTGAAGATATGTTAAATCAGTTTCCAATTATGAAGCTCCATTTCCCCTTCCAAAACTGCATAGATTCTTTTAGCGGTATTTGACCCATCCCTTTTATTAATAAATAATCAATGAAAACTCCCCAAATATGACTAAAATATCCTTATTTATCCAGCCATTTTAAACTTAATAACACAAGTTAACTTATCATTGTAAGTTATATAAACTATATTCCAGACTTCCTTATACCAATCATTTAAATGAAATTCATGATTTTGTTTCCAGTTCTATGCTATGATTAATCTTGCTGCAGTTAATAAATTTGATATCAGTTCTTTTATTATCCAATCCCACTGTTCCATATAAAAATTGATATCAATGCAATTTTAGGACTTTACATTTAACTTCAATATTTCATTAATTTCTTTAAAATCAAACCTTCAAAATTTCAGTCTCACATTCACACGACATATATAAGTACTGTACCTATTTCTTGCTCACATCTCCAACATAAATGTGAAACTCTGCTCTCCATATAATTCAGTTTTACCAGTGTTAAATACCATTCTCAAACTAATTTGTAAAGAATTTCTTTTATTCTTACTGACATCTGTTAGGATTGGGACTAGATTTGGGATTACACTGGGTACTACTATTAAATATTTAAATACAGATATTACTAAAATTTTGCAATTTTGATAATTTAAAATAAGAAATTAAAGATAAACTTAACAATCTTAAATGGTTTATCATGGTTTGGTAGAGTAGTAGCATGTAAAATGAAGATATTAAAATTAATTTTTGTTTATGATGTTATTAATTAAGATAACAAGAAGAGTTGAAAGAATCACTAAATATGATTAATAAATTCTGTAACTGTGATTTTAAGAAGCAAGAATTAATAAAAAGATATGGAATAGATCACAAAAATTAGGAGGACTAGGTCTTCCTGGTATAAGGTTATATTAGACATGGGCATGAATTAAATTGTCCGCGTCCCAGTTGAATTGTCGTTGTGCCCATACATGTCAGTCAAGGAGGCAGGGCAGGGATTCCTGCCATGCTGCCTTTGTGTGGGATGGTTTAATTCATGCTCATCTCTAGTTATATTATGTAGCTAATCAAATGAAACATATGGTGGATATTATATCTCAGCCTGATAAATTATTATGGGCTAAGTTAGAATTTCGAGAAGTGGTAGGCTGTCTTGAGGGGAAAAATGTTAACAAAAATATCTATCCTTTATAAAATGGATAGAATTAAATTTCTAGGAAACTAGAAAAGTTTCCTAGAAATTTAAAAGAGCTTGGAAAAATATTAAAGAAGAAATAAATGATCAGATTCATTGAAGAAGATGAACAATAAGGAGCCAATTAGAAAAAAGATGGAAGGGGGGAAATTATCATGTTTTAATGTGATTCAGTTGGAACAATGCAATAAAAAGTGGGTGGAAGAATGGGAAATGTAGGGATCTCACAAAATTTGAAGAGATGGTAGTGTTAAAGGAAGAACAAGATGATAGAGTAATAAAAGGGTTAATAAGTAAAATGTTTAAGATGCTGATGCAATAGATTTGGGAATGGATATAAGTACCAACCTGTGGAAAAACTTTTGGGATAAAAGAATACTTAAATAATCTTATTTGAATCCATTACTACCACATTTTCAGTAAAATTCCATCTGCTTATAGCCTAGCCCCCACCCCACCCCACCATGAGGATAATTTCAGCTTACACTATAGGATAGTTACAAAGTTTAATATTTGTACAAAAATTATGCCCAGCTTCTCTCCTCCTAAGAAGAGATGCTTATACCAGCTCACAAGGAATAAAACCAAAAATAACATTAATCTA